CAACTAACCACATACCTCATGATGGTGTCTTTGTGATAGTAAGATTCTCTTAGTTGCTTTAAAACCAGTGCTTGAAAAGCTTCATAAAGGGCAAGCAACTCCAACGGCAGATCATCAAAAGTACAGGCCAGGTACATATACCAAAACCATAGCCATAAATTGCAATTTGTAATCCGTGAAGCAAGAAAAAAGTTAATATGAACTATGAGCATAAACATAGTTCCCAAAAAAGATTTATTAATAAAAATTGTGCTTTCAACAGTTAAAGCATACAAAACTAAAAACTGGACTGCAATGCTACACTGTAAACTATGCACCGAGTCCTAGAATTTGCTCGTTTCAAAGGAATCTTTGACTGGAATGGAAACAAAACTTCATACCTTGAAAGAGCATTCCAATCCGCTCAAAATACCCCACAAATTGGATTTCAATTGATCTCGAATCAAGGTTGGTTCAAACCTTTGGGTCCTGAATTCCTAAATTTTCAGTGATGGGCAGTGACACCTTTGGGTCCCCACAGGCTGTTCCGTATTGAATTCGAGAAGTTGTCTCCAATCTGCATCAAATACTCGTGGATTCATGGAGAAGGCAGCGCCCTTTTTTTATCCATTGCTGAATGCCTGAATGTATACTCCGTATACTCTAATTAAAGTGGCGAGCCCTACTCCAATTTTTTAAACTGAGGCATTTTTTCTGTAGTGATTCTGTAGTAGTGCCGCCATGATCATCATGCTTCCCATGTTGCCAGAAATTTCTACTCTCACAGCCTTAGCTTGCTAAATAGTCGAAACCTTTTATATTGTGCCAATGACTTGAATCCTTGGCAGTGCTAAGTTCAATAATGCAATGTTCCTGCAATTAAGAGAACATGTATATCCTTTGAATCCGAAACGCAGAAAGAAACACAGAAAGCTCTAGCTCACTTAATGTATGTAGAAATCTAGACAAAACTTACAGAGTAATTAATTAACATTGACTACAACATAGTTGTATAGAACTACATATTATCCCTTTATGTATCATTATTGAAGCTGAAAGATGAAACATGTTTTCTGGGGTCTGGATCCATTTTATGATTACCTGTAGGCTTCTTGGGTTAGGTTCCAAAAAAATCAGTCATTAGTTCATGTAACAACTTTTGGTATGACTTAGAACAATAGCAGTAGAACATAAGAACAAGTGACAAGGTAAACTATAGCAGTAGAACACAAGAACAAAGCTACTAATAGCAAACTACAGCAGTGAAGCCCATGAACAGATCTACAAAGAGCCAACAACATAACATAATATAATAACCCAAATGTCAAAAACTCATTAAACGCTTTTGAAAACTTTAGATAATGTCCCACCAAAAACAAACCTCAAAAAACCTCAAACACTCCACAAAACTAAGCAACATAACACACTGCCCCTAGTCACACGAATGGTAGCACAACTAAAAGAAATGTAGACTAGCTATACTAAACCAACCCAAACTAAGCCATGTAAATGTCTTGGTAATTGACTATGCCCACCGTTTTTACAACAAAAAACTTCCATTTAAAAACTTCCATATATCCCTCACAAAAAAAGGTTCATAGAAAGATTTAGGTGTGGGGAATCAACATGGAGCTCTCAAATAAAATTTCCAAAATTTGTTTTTCAAACCTACTGTAAAACTAGTAGGTGTGAACAAAAAACTAGTAAAAAATAATTTTGATTCTTTCATATTTTTAGTAAAAAAATTTATTTAAAAATCTTATCTAAGAGTATATCAATAAAAAGAAAATCAAAAATCAAATTGAGGTAAGAGAAATTGAGCAAATAAATCATCATAATTGAAGAATTAGAATATTTTCATTCATATAATTGAAGAATTTAGAGTATTTTCAAGAGATATGCAAAGAAATTCACATAATTTAACCATTAGAGTATTTTCAAGATAAAGTAAAACCTGCAAATTAGAGGTAGTAGAGATTGGGATTGTGATGTTGGCTTATGCGCCATCGATAAGTGGGATGGACCGGAATCGTGGAACTCTATGGGATCAGAAGACCACTGCCCGGTGTCGAGGTATCTCGATGGCGACGAAGAAGATAGGAGCGACGAGGATCGATGGCTCTGGCTCCAGACATGAAGGTTCGCCACTTCGTCGTACCTTAATCGACGAGAGATGGGGTTTTTTAGAGGGAAAAGAGAAATTAGGAAGAGGGAGAATGAAATTTAGGAGAGGGAAAATGAAATTAGAAAGAGGGAGAATGAAATTTAGGGGAGGGAAAATGAATTTAGGAAGAATGAGAAGGAAATTTAGGAGAGAGAAAATGAATTTAGAAAGTGGGAGAATGAAATTTAGGGGAGGGAAAATGAATTTAGGAAGAGGGAGAATGAAATTTAGGAGAGAGAAAATGAATTTAGGAAGAGGGAGAATGAAATTTAGGGGAGGGGAAATGAATTTAGATAGAGGGAAATTAAAATTGTAGAGATTTGGAGGTAAACTTTAATACTCCATCCGTCCCTAAATATTCATAACATTTGTGTTTTCAGCAGTCGCGGGAACTTTTGCTTATTTCGACGTTTTCATTGGTTATTTGATAAAATAAAATATTCTTGACACCTCTTATTTCGAAGAAGTTTTCATGTAGTTTTTTTATATGTAAATTTTATTTTTTTATTTTTATACCAATAAGTAAATAAAATGAATTGAAAAAACTTGATATTTTGTCTCGATAATACAAATGTGCCAAATAATTTGGGACAGAGGAAGTAATATGAACTAAATTCATATCTCATGCATTTAAAGGTAATATCTAGCAAATAAGAAAAAACATTGACAAGTAAATTGATTTTTTTGAAGACTAGATCTGATCTTATTGGATTTGAATTTGATTTGATCCGATTATATCTGTTTTGATCTCATCTTAATAGATTCGAACTTGATTTGATCTGATTAGATCTATTGTGGTCTGATTCAATCTAATTAGATCCGATATGATTTTTTTAAAATATTTGATATGATCTTACTAGATTTGAATTTGATTTGATCTGTTTGGGTCTAATTCGATCTAATTTGATCTGATCTGATGCATTTATAGATTAGATCAGACAAACAGGACACGACCTATATAATTAACTTTTTTAAAAAAAAAAATTTGATCTGATCTTAATATATTTGAATTTGATTTGATTTGATTTGATCAAATTTATTTTGGTCTCATTCAATCTAATTAGATCTGATATGATGCATTTAAGGATTAGATCAGGCAAATATGTCACGGCCTATACAATTAAATTATTTTTTAATAGATTTGAACTCGATTTGATCTGATTAGATCTATTGTGGTCTGATTCAATCTAATTAGATCAAATATAATTTTTTTTAAATATTTGATATGATCTTACTAGATTTGAATTTGATTTGATCTGTTTTGGTCTAATTCGATCTAATTTGATCTGATTTGATGCATTTATAGATTAAATCAAGCAAACAGGAAACGACCTATATAATTAACTTTTTTTTAAAGATTTGATCTGATCTTAATAGATTTGAATTTGATTTGATTTGATCTGATCAAATTTATTTTGGTCTCATTTAATCTAATTAGATCCGATATGATGCATTTAAGGATTAGATCAAGCAAATATGACATGACCTACACAATTAAACGAAAGAATTAATACGGACTAGAAGGAACCGATAAATACTTGTCGAAAGAATTTATTTTGGTCTCATTTAATCTAATTAGATCCGATATGATGCATTTAAGGACCAGGTGGAACTTATAAACTTTCATTTATTGAATATAAAAATTACTACCTCCGTCTCACTATATTCGTCCACTTTTGACTTTTGGAACTGTTCATCTAAGTACTTTGACTCATCAAATTCTCTTAATGTGTAAGCCTAAATATAGTCATGTGTGATCTTGTTTGATTTGTCTTAACATATATATTATTAATATATACTCCCTCCGTCCTAAAACATTCTTCCCACTTCCTCTTTTTCTCCGTCCTAAAACTACCTTCCCATTAGGAAAAAAAAGATGACAAATGACATTAATACCCTCATGTATTTACACCAATTATCTTCTAACTCTATATTTTGAATGGTGTGTAAAAATGAAAGTGGAGTAGTGGACAAATACTCTGGGACGGAGAGAGTATATTGTTGGGTAAGGATCGATGAATATTCGGAACAAGTTAGCCTGAAAAGTGTGTTTCACTCAGACACGTTATTTTAAATTTCAAAGTACAAAACCCTAGGGTATATAAAAGGATTTTTAGCCTTTTTTTCCTTCTCCTCCTCGATCAAAGAATTCCGCCGCCCCTCTCTCCTCCGATCCCTACAACGACCTTTTCTCCAATTCTCCCCAATCGGCGAAGAGAGCAGCGGCGACAACAATCCCGGCGACCCTCAGCGAACGCAGTGGTGCAAACCCACAGCGGCGAAATTCCGGCGATTTGGCATATACGGTGACAGAGGCAGCGACCGGCGGTGACAGGGAATGACCTCCACTGTTCCGACGATGGACTCGAGCAGAAGAACGCAACGGTTGTTGAACACCTTTTTCCGATTCACCCCTTTTTCTTCAATTTTTTATTTCGTTGCTATTTTCTTGTGATTTTTTGAGATTTGAGCTTGTCTCAAGCAAATGCTGTTGACTTTAAACTCAATTTTCCTATTTTGGAGCTAGACTTTGGCTAACTGAAGGTAACCCTTCGTGGTCCTTGTTCATTTGGTGACCATGGACATCGGTTTTCACTTTGATTTATGATCAATCGAAGGCCAATTTCTGGGGGTTTATGAGCGACCTGGGTTGTTGTTCAAGGTCTAAAGTTGGATTGCAATTCCATACGAAGAAGCTTTCGATTTGAGCAATGTTTCTGAATTCGGCTCACTGTTCACAGTGAGCATTGAAGTCTGGAATAAACCAGGTTAGAGCATTCATTCTTCTTAGTTTTTGGGGTTGATCTAGAATTATGACTAGGGCAATTACAATAGTGTAGCTGAGGATCAGACACTGGTGAAGCTGAGGTTGTTGTGGCTAACGTACATGCTTGACTTTTGCACGAATGTGAATAATTAGGAGTGTGGGTTTTAGGTTAGGTTTGGCTTTGTTTTCACATAATGATGAAATCAACATAATTGTTATTGTGGTTGTTTTTAGGCAAGCAAAAGCTTTTCTCATTAGGCTTTTCTTAATGCCGCATACATATTACAAGTAAATGTGTGCATTTTGAGATTTTAAGGCCATGTGTGTGTTTTAGCATACTCATAGGTAATATCTTCTATTGTAAATTTCACAGGCCATAACCTCATCAGGGTCAAAGAAAGGAGAGATATCAAAGTTGATAGCAACTCAAATGTGAGTCTCTCCTTATACATTTGATTAACATATACTCCGTATATAATACATGTATCGCTTAGCATGGACCAGGAACATTTGATTACACACATTTACTCTAATTGCTTGTGCAAGTCAATTTCATCAAAATGAGATTTTCTATAGTGCATTGCCTTTTTATGCGGAAGGGGCATAGACTTTTAATTGCATTAAATCAAAAGAGGTAGTAATCAAATGTCTGCAATGTACTCTAATTGCTTCTGCAAGTCAATTTCATTGCCCTTCAATCAATGTCTGCAATGTCTCTTTTCAAAACAATTTGCACAGCAGCTCAGGTTCCATGTGAGTTTTTTCTTTTCTTTCCTCGGTTAGGTTAATCTTTTGGTGATTCAACTCACTATAGGTCTATATATGTTTTGCTTGCAGATTATCATGGTCACAACGGCGTCAAGAATTGAAGATCTGTATTCCCTTGATTCAATGCTGGATGTTATTGAGGGGACAAATAACTAAAATAGGCATGCTCAATGGACAATTAAAATGTGATTTTAGTTATGTAAATATTAAATTATTGGATGCTATTAAGAGTTTGGGTTGTATGTATTTGAATATTATTCAATATATTGTACATTTTGGAATTTATTTTTGTTTCATAATCAATATTTTAAAATTGAAATAAATTTTAATTATTAAATATAATTGTAAATTGAAATATAGTAGTCTTTCAAAACGCTTTACAATGTATTTAAACAGTTTTCTAAATCATTAAAGGACAACTAAACAAACGTGTATTGTTAATAAACGTTAGACAATTTAAACAAACAGTTGTATGAAATACAACAAATAATGTTGTTTACATTTTAAAAATACAACACATAATAGCAGTTGTTTTATGCAAACATACTTAGTTGTCTTTGGCGCAGTAGTTTGATTTATAATCTAACTACTATGTAAAATGATAGTTTGAATATTTCAAGGACAACTATAAAAAAGCGCAGTGTTATTGAACACTATACAACTGAAAGAAACGGTTGTTTAAAATACAGTAAAATTAGTAGTCCGTATTCTAGAAATACAACAAAAGATAACAGTTGTTTGATCCTATTTTTCTTTAGTAGTCTTCCGAGCAGCTGTCTGATATATATTTCAATTACTTTTTAAAGTAGATGTCTATATTGTTGAACGACAACACCAAGAATTAGGAGTGTGAAGTTAAAAACAACAGTAGTATTCATTATAGATAGACAACAAAAAATCACAGTTTTCTTTAACTCTAAAAAACAGATGTCTTATTTATAGGGGGACAACACTAAAAAGTGGTACTCTAAAACATTACAAAACAGGTGTCATCAACCATTTTACACAATTGTTTTTAAACAATAGTCTGTAAATATATGAGACAGCTGCTCGGAAGACTACTGAAATCAGCACCGGGAGACTACTAAAAGAAACAGTTGTCAGCATCTGTTTTTGACGTAGTGGGAAAACAGAGCTGGTGCTAGTGCAACTGCAGAGAAAAGCTCTTCAGACAATATTCCCATTATATGTCTGAAGAAAACAGCCAAGAGGAAGCAAGTGGTGTCTCCCTCTCCCAGTGCTGAAGCACCATAGAATCTTGCTCTGGTCAATCTTGAAGAAGAAGAAGAAGAAGAAATCTCTGCCCAAGGAGAACTACAAAGGAAGAAGAAGAGGAAAATCACCTCTCCCTTAACATTTGGAAATGTCAACCCGGATGAGTTGGTGGGAAAGGAACATGTTGAGGAAACATCTGCCCACAACAAGAGCCCTCAACAACCTGATGAAGAAATTCCTCAAGTTCAGAATTCTCCAACTTCCTCACAGCCTCAAATTGATGATGCTGAGAATCAATTCTGGCAGCTCTACAATGACTGGAGAGCTTGGAAAGTTGGAAATTCAGCAGAACAGTTGTTGAGTTGGGACCAGCAACTGAAGAATGAGAAGATCATCAAGAAATGCCTAGGTCTGCCAATCAACTATTGTTGTGAACAAATCCTGGATGTTGACTGGGTATGGCAAAGAAACTATGAAGACTTGCATCTGGAACACTTGGTCACCTCACCAGTTTCAGAATTTGAGGCTGACGATGAGGATCATGCAGTCTACATGCCAATCTTCCCAAAGGCTACAAAAGATCAGATGGCTTTTACCACTAAAGCAAAAGCAGATATGGAAGCCACAACTGAAGGTTTCCAAGTTTTCCTGGAAATCTCCCCTGCCATTGAAACGGTTCTGACTGAAGCTGACCAGGAGAATGCAGCCTCCACTCCGCAAGAACAGAACCAGGAAACCTCAGAAGAAGAACTTCAGCAACTCATCCAATCTCAAGTCCTTGAGATTTTCACAACTCCCTGTGAGATCTCCAATCAGCCTGAACTTGAGATTCCGGAAAAATCTACTAGAAATCTGGAGCAGTCCACTCCTCCAGAAGCAAATGAATTCCAAGAAGAGCAAGCTGTAGAAATCTAGAGGAGTTCTGCAGAAGCTGAAAAGGAAGCTCAAATAGATGGACTGGAGACCTCTGAAACTCCAGCTGCTATCCTTGAGCAAAACATTGGAGCTCAAGAAAGAGATTCCCTCTCTAGGGATATCTCTAATTTTATGCTTGGTGAGACACAGGAAGAATCAGAAAAGACGCTAAGGATTGATGATGAAGAAGGAGAGCAAGGAGATGCTGAATCCCTCCCTTTGCAACTCTTCCACAGAGCACCCTCCTCTCATCAGGTAACCAACTTCCATTTCCATAGCTCTTCCACCCCTACTCTTCCGGATGAAGTACCGGAAACCTGGACAAAGAAGGTCCAAGGGTTGATTGAGTCAGCTCTAGCGTCTCAGCATGCCTCTTTTAGGCAAGAGATAGAGCAAATGGAAGCTAGGCATAACAAGCCGATGGAGAAATCTGTTAGAATAAGTGCCCTTCACTAGAGGGGGGGTGAATAGTGAGGCACAAGAATGTTTATAAATTTTCGCGGAATAAAAATCGCAGGGATAAAGTAAAGAGCGGAATAAAAAGGAGTAAAGGGAGCACACCAAGATTTACCCTGGTTCACCACAACTTGTGGCTAATCCAGCCTCCCGAGAGACTCTCTCGAGCTACACTACTTCCGTTAAGCTTACGGGTGCTTAACAAACCGTTACAACCTGAGAACTCGAGTCCCACGAGCCTCAATACACTTGCTCGAAGATACCGCACTCCAAGACTTCAACCCGAAGGAAAATACCTTTCCTTCGTACAACCAAGGGAAACAAGCATCCCTTAATGTGTATACAACACTAAACACTCAAGAACAAGACTCTCTTTAAGAGTAGATGA